ACACACACACACACACACACACACACACACACACACACACACACACACACACGCACACACGCACACACGCACACACACATACACATGCACGAACACACACGTGCACACCTACCCCACTGCGTCAATTTTAGCGCCAATTTCTCGTAGACCTTTCCGAGAGCCATGATGAGAATGAGATTGACGCATGCGCTGCTCAGACTGGCGATGGTCGGTGCTTGTGAGCGGGTTAGCTTGTTTTGGAATAGCGGCACGGTGATAATGCAGCGATACATGATCACAGCGACGATGAAGATAAACACCAGACACATCTACACGATAAATAACAAACGAAGCAATATATATATATATATATCATATAATAATAGCCTATATAACAATACATAGATGGCAGCATACGTGCGGTCAATATATATATATATATATATATATATAATATCATAATATATATATATAAACTCAGCGCTCAGATTTTTACAGAAAACGACGCGGAAAAATCACAAATAATTGACATTTATTTACGCTACGGAAACATTATGCGACCCGCGCTTTTTTACGGGCAAAACGGGCGCACGCGCAGACGAGAGCGCGTGCTGTGCGTGGTTACCATGACGATGATGGCGCCCACGCCGACGAGGATGCGAGGCAGGCGTGTCCTGGAGGGGAAGTGAGGTTCCTTCACTCCCGTGATCGGGTTCTTCTCCATGAACGGTGCGCGCGCGGCAAACTCCGGTCTCGGCCTTTCCTGCGGGCAGACGAGAGAAGAGGAGGGTCGTGTAGCTGCAGCTGTACACACGCACGCACGCACGCACGCACGCACGCACGCACGCACGCACGCACGCACGCACGCTCGCACGCACACACACACACACACACACACACGCACGCACGCACGCACGCACGCATAAAAATTATCGTTTTTGTCAACTCACAATATTAACAAAAACCAACAATTCCGTGCTAAAATATTCAACATTATCTTGCTAAAATCATCCAAACAAATTCCATTCTCTAACGATGCCGTCAAAGACGAACAGATGGGAATCTTTGCAGCGAGTCACGTGACTCAGTGACGTCACCGCACAAACCAGCGTTCTCCGACATGCGATGGGAACTAATGGCAACATCGGATAGTCGAGCAAATCATCGCACTGAAGATGCGGCTTTGAAGTGTAATTTCACTCTTCATCGATCGATCAGCGTACAGCGGCAAATCATCGATGTCTAACTAGAGACTACGCTCTCCCGCTCCTCTTCCTCTCTCTCTCTCTCACCTCTTCCTCCTCAAAGTCCATGCAGTCCCAGTGATGGGCCAAGCTGGAGCTCTTACGCTTCCAGTATTCGAGGAACGTGACGGCTGCAAGGATATAGCGAGAGTAGACGTTAGGTGTAGACAGATCGTACGTGACGTCATCGCGTGACGTCATCGTCATCGTCCTAACGAACGAAATCTTTTCGCATTAGAACTCATTCGTGCTCTCATTAGATCTTTACGTCTGTTCGCCCGTCTCTCCGTCCGTCCGTGTATCCACAAGTCTGTCTGTATGTCCTTCCGTTCGTCCGTCTGCCTGCCCGTCCATTCCTCCGCCCGTCTGTCCGTCGTCCGTTTGTATGTCCGTCCGTCCATCCGTTCGTCCGACCGTCTGTCTGTCCGTCTCTTTAGCTGTATGTTTAGATGTGATTAACTTCAAGACTTTCATAGGTGAGCATTTCATTTAACGTGATACATCTTATAAAGACCCGACCCCGCTAGGAACCGTACAGACAGTGTGTGTTCGAGTTTTGAAGTACACTTACCAGCATCGTGCACCTGCTATATATCTGATCCGTTATTAATTCATTACCCGCCTGATAAGCAATGTCAATAGACGTCTTACTGTTTAACCATACATTTATTAATTAAACACACAGAGATAATGTATTTATTCATTAAGCGTAATAGGAGCTCGTATAGTAAACGTTGGTAATGGATTAATAACTGAAGCCTGAACGTGATATGAAATCAGCGCTGAACAAATATAGGAATTATACGTGTTAAAGTTACACGAGCTATCGCGCAGTCATCATGAAAGCATGTGTCGCCATCGCTGTGTGAACGCGTGTGGGTGTCTGTGAGACAGTCAGCATAACGGGCACATAATATATGATGCTCGTTATTTCAATCGCTTGCGTTCCTTCATTAATTCTTTTTTTCGTTCGTTTGTTCGTTCGTTCGTTCATTTGTTTGTTTTCTCGCCCGTAAGTCCGTTCATCCGTCCGTCCGTCCATCCACGTATCATATTAGGCAGGTATATGTATATAAATATGTATATATATATATATATGTATATGTATATGTATATGTATATGTATATATATGTATGTATACTCACCCCAAAAGGACATGAAGACCGCGTAGAAGACGGTTCCTGCATTGTCGAACAGGTAGCTAATCCTGCTGTACATGCATATGTCCGACAGACTCCAGTACTGGCAGCCGATCGCCTCTGCACACAGCGGACACATCTTAAAATGGCTGCCGCTATCGCAAGTTTCGTTCCTGACAAGAGAACATTCCTGTTACCAGACGCCCATGACGTGCGAAACGTTCGATATGTATAGAATTTATGCGGAAATCACGTATGTGCGCGTTTTGAACCACCGAGAAAAGAGGCGTGTGTGTGTTTGTATGTTACACACACACAGACGTTGTTTTGTAACATGTCAACCGATTGCCACGAGGTGAGGTAGAGGGCTTGCCGTCATTCTTTCTACGCCTTTGGGAGAGTCACTTGGTATTAATCCCTCATAAGGCTCTCTTCTGCGAGAAATTGCTTGTCCAATTACCTCGGCAAAAATGAAAACACGCCAGAGGGCAAACGAATTTTAACCAAAAAACAATATCACGGCAAAAACGAACGTAAGAAAATTGTCGTCGACAAATATTTTCGCAATGCCGACCCGAGAAAAAAAGCGTGCACCCGCTCAAAGACGCAAGCACGCCCCGTCCTTCCCACGTCCTCTACCACTATTAGCATCGGTTGAATCCCCGCAGATCCCAATACAAGATGACATGAATCAGTGGATTGATTGATAGAGGAAGTTGAGCCAGTATTTAAGCGCGCTTCCTTGCCGGAAATTGCCGAAATGAATACGCAGCGAATCGGCGATTTCCGTAAACAATCGGCTACAGACGACTGAAGATTGACAAGAAGCCGTTTACCGAGTTCTGTAATGTAGCGGCAGACCCATCACCAGGCGATTCAATCTATTATTATTATTACCCGCGCTCTCCTTCTCCCTAACCTACGTAATTATGCAATCTATCTACTACAGACACAATCACCTACGCATTTTACAATCTCTTTAGCTAGCGGCCGGTTTAAATTGGACCACTCTGAAACACGCGTAGCAGGCTAAAAGGGTTAACGTTCTTGAATAATTGCGTTGACAAGATGGCGATATTATTCTACGTACGATGAGAGTAGACGGACAAACCCGAAGTGTGGTTCGCATACGCGAATATATTGCAGGAATCTTAGAGAGGCAATTATATTAAGCAGAATCTACCATACATTTATAATGTAATTATAACATTTATAATATAATTTGCAGAAATCTTCCCGCAGCAGAATTGACATTAGAACGTTTAGTTATTGATGGCCGAAGAGGGCAGCTGCATCGCTGCATCCCCGCATCCCTGCATCCCCGCATCCCTGCATCCCCGCATCCTCGCATCCCTGCATCTCCGCATCCCCGCATCTTTGCATCTCTACATCCCAGCATCCCCGCATCCCTGCATCCCTGCATTCCCGCATCTCCGCATCCCCGCATCCATGCATCTCTACATCCCTGCATCCCTGCATCCCTGCATCCCCGCATCCCCGCATCCTTACATCCTTACATCCCTGCATCCCAGCATCCCAGCATCCCTGCATCCCAGCATCCCTGCATCCTTACATCCTTACATCCCTGCATCCCAGCATCCCAGCATCCCTGCATCCCAGCATCCCAGCATCCCTGCATCCCAGCATCCCTGCATCCCCGCATCCCCGCATCCCCGCATCCCTGCATCCCCGCATCCCTGCATCCCTGCATCCCTGCATCCCTGCATCCCCGCATCCCCGCATCCCCGCATCCCCGCATCCCTGCATCTCTACATCCCTGCATCTCTACATCCCTGCATCT